TGAAGTGGCTGATCTTCCATTAGTAACTGTGTCAAATAAAGAACTAGAAGAACAAAATGTTTGTTGAAACAGTTCAGGATCTTGTGCTGATTTGACACAGGAGAAGAGTTAATGAGAAGTTGTGATGGGAGGTCAGATGATTGGGGGGTGCCTGAGAGAGATTTGATGGTTTTCCAGAATCTGTTAGGGTCATTTAGATTTTTGGAGGTCTGAGATAAGAAATAGTTGTGTTTTGTAGCTTTGACAGCAGTTGTACATTTATTCCTCATCTGTCGAAAACTCAACCAATCAGTGTCTGAGTCAGATTTTCTCGCTGCGGCCCAAAGATGATCTCTCATGTGCAGGAGGTCAGCTAGCTCTGGAGTAAACCAGGGGCTGTCTCGTCCCTTTATTCTGAACTGATGAAAAGGAGCATGTTTGTTCACAAAATAAATGAAACTATTATGAAAATAGTTCCAAGCGGAGTTCACGTCATCAGTTAACAGAATATGATGCCAGTCAAAGTGAGACAGATCCCAGAGGAATGACTGTTCACAAAAATGTTTCAGATCCCTTTTTTGAATTAATCTGGACTTAGAAGGTGGAAGTTTAATATCTCTCAAAGCCACTGTCACACAATGATCACTCAAGATATTGGAAAATACACCTGTACCAGGGAATTTGTGAGGCATATTAGTTAGAAATAGGTCTAAGATGGAGGATTTTTCAGGACGGATTTTGTTTGTTCTAGTGGAAGAGTCGATCAGTTGGGTTACATTGAGAGACAGGCAACATTCCTTGAATTACAGGGGGGGGGGGGGGGGTCGACTTACCCCAGTCAATGTTGAAATCTGCCAAAAGGATCTCTTTGAATTTTAAATTACCAAGAAATGGGGTTTTGTTTTTTTGTTGAAAAATCAAGGATTTTAGGGAGGACAGAGCCTCAGGTGTTGCTGAGGGTGGGCGGTAGCAGCAGACTACAGTTAAAATCTGGCCTCCATTCAAAGTGATGTTTACAGCTAAGGTCTCAAATTGGTTTGGAATTGTTTTAGCAGACACAGGACTAGAAACCAGAGAATCTCTGATGTAAATAGCAACTCCACTCCTCCTTTTTTGACGATCACAGCGGTAGATGTTAAATCCATTGATTGTCAGGTCATTATTGAGTACAGATTTGTTGAGCCAGGTTTCAGAGATGAAGATTACATCTGCCACAGAAGAACTGATCAGAATTTTCAAAGCATCAAGTTTTCTCAGAAGGCTACGAGCATTTACATGCAGAAAATGAAGCCCAGGCACGTTTTTAAAGTCATTTGGTGTGCTGTAATTAGTGGGGGTCCAGGGTTGGGCTGAATCCCTGAGAGCAGTAACAACATTATTATCAAACATTTTCTTGAGTTCTTCGTGACTGATGTGTAATTACAGGAGTTAACAGTGTGACAATTAGTCCCCATAATCGAACCATGAGAAACATTAATGAGGACGCGATCATTCAGAACCCAAAAATAGTGAAAGTTGCAGTGATGGACAGATTCAGGTGTATTAACAAGATTCAGTGACTCCACATAATCTGAGAACTGAAAATAGTGACAATAATATGAATGATGCAGAAAAGTCTCAGACCATAAAACGTCACAGTTCAAATGGGCAAACAAACCCGACGAGGTGGCCCAACTGCAGTTTGAGTTGGGCTGAGGGGGGCTCCGGCCCCCCAGTGAAGATGGATGGATGCTCCCATGGGAAACAGAAGCTGGGTCCAGAATCAACAGGCCGAAACAGAAACAGATAATTTGCAGCAAATAACAGAGCGAGGTGCCAGAAAATCCTCCTGAAGTGAAAGACATGATCCTAGCTCGTTTCAGATCAACAGGGGACAACAGCGTGATCCGGAATAAAAATAATTATTATCCAGGTGAGTTTGGATGGAGGCCTGCAGCAACTCCGATTCAAACTCCGAACTTCTCTCAAGCACCACGCAGCCCTGCTCCTTCATGTTGCTCCTCCGCCTCTCTGCATGTCACCTCCGCACCCGACAGCACGAGAGGCACCCCCGGTGAAAACTACGAGACTGACCGGAGAGGCTGAAGTCGTCACTGGTCCGGTCCGGTTCTGCTCCAGTCCGGCTCTGGCGCTCCACAGCACAAGAGACAAAGAGGCTGAAGTTGTCCCTGGCCCGGTTCTGCTCCGGTCGGGTTCTGGCGGCGCTTCAAAGCATCAGAGCGTCTCCTCCAGGCGAACACAGCAATTCTGCGGAGGTGGACAGTCCTTCATTTATAAGTAACGGGCTGCTCTTTGAAGCTGAGACCGGCTCTGTTGAAGACAAAGTCCCCCACAGCCACCTCGGTTCGGTTCTGGTCCAGTTCGGGGGACAAAGGTACACTTGCACAGTGTACAGGTACACTGCCGAGAAGCTGGAGGGAGCTGCCGTCCATCAGCTTACCGGAAGAGAAGTATAAGTGAAGTATATCATATATATGCATACATATATTTATATATGTGTTAAAGCACTGATTATTCTTTGTAGAGATCTAGTAGAGCTGTATGAACAGGTAAATGAGGCACAGATTGCAAAGTCCTTTGAGTATCTTGATCAGATAGAAATGTAATATATACATATATGTATGTATGTATATATATATGTATTTTTTTATACATACATATATATATGCATGTATATATACACACATACGTGTGTGTAAACCATGTGGTCCATACAAACCTTTCTGTAGTTATTATGATAGTCATGAGAGTTGTAATATGTGTATATGCCGCTTGTTATTCGACTCTGCTCGGGTCAGACCGTTTGTTGTCCGACCGCGAGCAGAGGAGCTGGAAAATGAGTTCCATCTCAGCCAGGACATTTTTAGCTCATATCACCTTCAGGGGCGACAAGACGTCACCAGGCAAGTCAGCACGAGTCACACACTGCAGACGGTGTCGTGATGTGCACCGGATGCTTACAGCATTATAAACCTCAACATGAAACACAGCCTCCTGTCCATCAAAGTCTGTCATTAGAGGCTCTGAAACAACAAAGATGTTTTGGGTGGACTGCTGCACATTGGGAGCACTCGGACAAAAGCAGCAACTCCAGTGAAAGTGAAGCCTTTACCTGAAAGTATCCAGGTAAATGACTTTTTTTATTTTTATACCAGTAAACCATGCAACTGAAGTAAAACGAGCTCTAGAACAAAGCTGTCAGGGATTACACAGCATGCTGCACACAGATGACTTCCTCTGGCACAATATCTTTGACTTGTGGTCGGCAGGACTGTTCCGTCTCCACCCGTACAGACGAGCTGTGTAGCAGGTGTAGTCTGAGCATGGAGCTGGATTAGACCAGCTGGAGACCTGGCTCTGGAAGAACAACACTGCCATCTAGTGTAAAAAGTCATGCTTGAACATAGTTCTGCTAAGTCCAAATGTTCCACACTCCATGGCCTTTAGAAGGCACATCATGAGCTGCCTGTGGGGACAGTTTCATGTCAGTAGATTGACAGTTGTTCTAAAAAACCCAGAATCAAGAGCAGATGAAATACTTGTACATAAACAAAAGGTCAACTTACTGGGAACTCCCCAGACGTGGAAGGAAAAGCTGTGATCAGAGGAGTAAAACTGAACGTGTTGGCCATCAAGGACTGTGCTGAAAAACCATGTCCACAGTGAAGCATGGTGGTGGCACTATCATGCTGCACCAATGTTTTTCACCAGCTGCGACTAGGAAGTTGGTTGGAAATGAAGACTTGAGAAATGTTGCAAAATATGAAGAAAATCTTAAATATCCATATATTTCACTTCATAGTGTACCTGTTTGTTTCATTTTTATTTTTCTTCCACTTCCTTTTCATTTTATGTTTTTATACCTTTGTCTGACGTACCTCACCTAGTCTTTGTTCTTCTGAGTCCTCGAGGCTCAATGACAATAACCTGTAGAAATAAAGGTTGAATGAAAAAATGACCCGGTACAAACTTAAACCATCCGAGAACCCCGGTGTGATGAGAACCATCCAACTGAGAACCTCGGTGTGATGAGAACCATCCAACTGAGAACCCCGGTG